ATACTAAAATCCTGAGAAAATACCTTTAAACAGCTGGAATGTCTAATGAGGCCTGAAATGATCTCCACACATATGAACAACTGCTTATTAACTCACCACCATCCAATCACCACACCGTCTGAACTGTGGGTACCTCTGATATTGAGATCGTTTACATGATGCCACTGGAGGAGACCATGGCTGAAAGTACTGTAAAGAAGGTTCCCACACATCTGCAATATGAACTTCTTGGTAGCATTAGTAAAATCCTCGTTATTCTACAATTGCCATGCAAAATAAATTAGGTAGAATAATGACTGCAGGATTTTGTACAGCTGCTCAAACAACTTCAGTCACTGTGAGTCTCGAGCACAATAATAAACAGCAGAATCTTCAGTCCTCAGACTGCTCATCTGCAGATACAGCTGCTGTCTGCTGTTGTCTCTGGAGATGGTGAATCGTCCTCTGACTGACTGAGAGTAGTGGATGTTAGCACTGTTATAATGGCTTGCAACCCACTCCAGTGCTTTTCCAGGTGCCTGTCTGACCCAGGCCATCCAGTAGCTACTGAATGTGAATCCAGAGGCTGTACAGGTCAGTCTGTGGGATTCTCCAGGCCTTTTAACCACTGACTCAGACTCAGTCAGAGTCTGACCATCAACACCTGTCAGACCAATGAAAAAGAAAAATAACATAGTTACAAAACAAATTGTTATTTTTCAAGGCAAAACAACTAATTACGAGTGAAAATCTTCACCTGCCCAGCAGAGAGTTAAAAACAGCAGTCCTGTCTTGTAGTCCATCATATCAAACTGTGACTCTACTGATCTGTCATTCTCGCTACTGTGAGATAAGTAGAAGTAAAAAACATCTGAGTTTGCATTAACTCCTCCTCACTGAATAGACTGAGCAGAAATTAACATAGTCAACACTTTTAAGTGTCAAAATCACACTGAACTCAATAACATCCTAAGTTCTGTCACCTACGAGAAAACAGCATAAAAATAAATAAATAAAAAAGGTACATGAGATAACATTTAAATGCTTTTAAGTCAGACTTCCCTTAAACAGATCAGACATTGTTTGTACTAACAAGTGTATTAACTAAAAATATCCTCAAGTGGCTCCCAAGCACAAAAGTAATTGTAATAAATAAAATAATTTTACACCGGTCATTTAAATCTGCTTTGGACTGACTGAGAGTAATATTTGCTGCTACAGCTGTAACTGTCAAACCAGACAATCACCTCTACTGATTTTCTGACAGCCTGTCTGATCCAGCTAATGAATGAGAATCTCAGAGCTGTGCAGTTCAGTCTGTTTTATTCTTCAGGCCTTTTAACCAGTGGTTCCACCAGAGACTGGTCATCTGTCAAGTCACTAACTTTTAAAAACTGTTTTTATTTTTTAGTATTTTTTAGTTTATTTAAAATAAATAAATAAACTCAATAATCTTTTTCAGATATCACCAATAGTAATAGTATCAACTGTTGTTCAGACTAACAGTTTTAATGACAATCTCTAACTTCTATTATGTTACAGGTCTCCACTGGAGGGGCTTTTTTAAGGAGCACAGGGATCTGACTGTATCATCACT